GTTATGGTGGTGCTGGAAGAAGAGCAATTTAACCCTTTCCCCATCCCTGGAACATGACTCTGCCCGGCCTGCTGAAAGGCCCAGTGGAGAAACAGAGGGATACCTGTATGGTGTCTCCCTCTTCTCTCCTGCTGAGATTTAAAACAGCACTCTCTCTCTCTCTCTGATTTCCAACAGGTACAAAGGAGTTTAGCACTTTCCTCCCCAGCATCAGGAGCCTGATCCAAATTGCTAGGGTTGCCAACTTCCAGGTGAGCCTGGAGTTCTCCTGGAATTACCACTAGGGCTGGCAGCTCCGGCTTGGGAAATACCTGGAGGTTCTGGGGCTGGAGCCTGAGGAGGGCGGGGTTTGGGGAGGGGAGGGGCTCCAGTGGGGTATGATGCCATTGAGTCCACCTTCCAAAGTGGCCATTTTCTCCAGGCGAACTGACCTCTGTCACCTGGAAACCAGCTGTAGTAGTGGGAGAGATTCCAGCCACCGCCTGGAAGCTGGCAATCCTAGTTACAACTGATCATTAGGCTGCAGACATCAGCTCTCCTGGTGAAAATGGCTACTTTCTTCGGAGGGCGGACTCCATGGCAAAGCACTGGGGTTGTCAACCTCCAGGCAGGACTTGGATATTTCCTGAATTACAACTAATCTCCAGGCAACATAGATCAGTTCCCCTTGAGCAAATGCCTGCTTTGGAGGCCGGACTCTATGGCATTGTAACCCACTGAGACACACACCCCCCTTAATCTCCAGGTGTTTCCCAAGCAGGGACTGGCAACTTTATACCTTGCTGAGGTCCCTCCTGCCTGCTAGCCCTGCCCTCCCCAGTCTCCACCCTCAAATCTCCAGGAATTTTTCAACCTGGAGTTGGCAACCCTGTGAGATTGCCCCTCCTGTCTAGCAAATCAGGATGAGATTAAATGTTTGGAGTTCCAGCACAGCCCTCCAGGATTAGGCGCACTTTGGTTCTCAGCTTGTAAAGTCCTTGGGTGGCGATCTGTCTGGTCACTGTCCATAGTTGTGACAGCCATACATAAATAATAATGAAAGAGGGGAAGGAATAATTAAAACAAGTATTTTACCAAGCTATATTTTTTAAAAAAAATGTCGTAAGAACATAGCAGAAGCCATGTTGGATTAGGCCAATGGCCCATCCAGTCCAACACTCTGTGTCACACAGTGGCCAAACCCTGGGTGCCATCACAAGGTCCACCAGTGGGGCCAGAACTCCAGAAGCCCTCCCACTGTTGCCCCACCCAGCACCAAGAATACAGAGCATCCCTGCCCCAGACAGAGTGTTCCATATGTTTATCCAGTCCCCTCTTGAAGCTATTTCCTGGGTGTGCTTTTTGCCACTCCCAATAACCTATGATCAAATCATCCCAGGTAGCTTTATGGGAACCTTGGAAGCGGCTCACCTCCTATAGATGTTGGTTCTTTGGAAGAGAAGGCGGGAGGGGGGCACCGAGTAGGCAGGGCCTGTGGGTTGAGTTTATGAAAGCATGGCAGACCTCTACTGGCACTGCTAGGTCCCCAAGGAACAGGATGCCACTGCGGGTGGAAGGGAGGGGCTGGTTTCCTCAGCACTGATTGACAGCTGCCAAGATCCTTTCCTCCCTCTGTCAGCGGCTTGAATTGGCAGCACATAAAAAGAGATTAGCAGACCAGGGCCAAAGGGCTATAGAGGGCACCAAACAAGAATTTACCTGTGTTTCAAGGTCGGTGCTTTTGTTTGTTTGTTTTACGGTATTAGCAAATATTTAGTTAACCTGTTCTCTCATTGCCTCGATGAACGCATAGCACGGGATGCAATGAAGGCTGCTGAGAGAAGGAGAGTTTGTTTTTAGAAAGGAAACAGATGCTGGAGGAGGGGGGGATTAAAACAATTTCAGGGTGCCCAGAATAGTTGCAAAGCACCACACAGAGGCATGAGGGCAGAGAGAAGGGGCAGAAGAGGAGCTAAGGGCTCCTGTCCATAGGCCTTCCTTTTCTTTGGCAAATTCCACCGCCAGCGTTGCTTTATCAAGGAAGAAAGAGGCATTTGGGGGGGGGGGGAGAGGATCTTTAACCCTTTACTTCCCTGCCATGTGATTGCTGGGGGGGGAACCCCTTCTTTAACTGTGCTGGTGGTATGCACAGTTCCCCCCCCCCCCACCAGAAAAGATGAAAAAAGATCAGGTGGAGGTCAGTTTTCCCAATCAGGAAGAAACGGAAGGAAAGGCTTCAAAGCTCCCCCTCCGCATGCATTTCTCCTTGACCAAGCAATCCTAGTAGTTAGATCTGCAAAAGAAAAGAAAACAGGTAATATAAACATGGAAGAAATCTCAGGGTGTAGGGCCGAACTAGACGGGACAGCATCCCTCATGGTTAGGGTTGCCAGCTCTCAGTGGGGAAATACCTGGAGTTGTGTTTTTTTGGGGGGGAGTAGAGCCTGCAGAGGGCAGGATTTCGGGAGAGGAGGGCACAGTGCCATTGAGTCGACCAGCCAAAGCAGCCATTTTCTCCAGGGGAACTCATTTCTGTCATCTGGAGAGCAGCCGTCATAGCAGATCTCCAGGCCCCACCTGGAGGTTGGCAACTCATGGTAGCCATGAGGATGCTGCTGCAATTTAAAAAGGCTGCAAGGGCCTCTTATGCCCCCTTCTCCCTGGCAACATTTAAAGTGTTGAACTGTTTTTGGCACTTGAACATGCATCATGGCATTTTTAAATGGCTTAAAAATGGTGGAGGCCATGTGGTGACCATAAAGACACTGTCACGTCTAGTTCAGCCTGTAAGTGAGCTCAAAGTAAAATGAGCTTTGATCCACAGAGCCAAGTGTTCACTTGGTGGCCTTACAAAGCCATTCCCTTTCCACTCTGGCTCCCCCTCCCCCCCAGTCTACAAGATAAGAATAGTAATGCTGGCCTGCCTTAGAGCGCGATAAGAATAATGACAATGAACGTCTAAGAAGGGCTTTGAACACTGAAAGTGCCATGGGGATTAATAATATAACAAGAAGGGGGACCAGCGATATTCGGCCTGCCAGGCTTCTCCCCCCCCCCCACCGCCGCCACTGACAACAGCAGCAACAACGGCCGCCGCTCCTAGCTGTGGGGTCTACCAGGCTTCTCCCCCCCATAGCGGCAACGGCCATGGCTCCGAGCCATCAGGCCCACCAGACTTCTCTCCCCCCCCCCGTTGCTGCCGCCGCCGCCGATAACAGCAGCACCAATGGCTGCAGCTCCTAGCTGCGGGGCCTACCAGGCTTCTCCCCCTCCCATAATGGCAACGGCCGCAGCTCTTAGCCGCCAGCCTGCCAAGGCTTCTCCACCACCCCCCGCCACCAGCACCTATGCCGGCGAGCCCTGTGCGGCTCTGCCACAGATCCCAGAGGTAAGGGCGTTCTCTGCGCATGCGCAGGGAATGCTCTTTTACTTTTGGGGGGATCTATGTATCCCCCGCATAGTTTTTTAAACTTTTCAGATTTTTCTGCACACCTGGGGACTGCTCCAAGTGTGCAGGAAAATCTCTCTGCCCCCCAAGTGCCCCTAGTGTGCAAATTTAGATATCCGCACAGAGGGGGCAACTTGGCTATCAGATATATAGATGGTAGATATTTTGGACTTCTTCCGAAATTCCAGTTTCTTGTTGAAGGAGACCCCAACACTGGAGGTGCGTGGGGGGGAGGGGGCATTTTGTCAGTGGGACTGAAAATCAGGGGCATTTGTCTGTTGTACACAGAATCTGGGGCATTTGTCTGTTGAACACAACAGGCCCATTTTGTCCGCGGCACTGAAATGAGGGTTTCTGGTGTGGCTTGCTAGGCCTTCCGATGACTGATAAAGATGATGCTAATTCAGAGAACATTTGGCAGGGTGTTTTCTGCAATGAAATTTTTTTTCTGCTTTGCTTAATTATAACTGTTTTGCTTTTTTTGCTGCTTTGCTTAATTATGAGTTGCTTGTTTTGTTTCTCTGGATTTCATTTAACACTAGAAGGCACGTGCACTGGGGTTGCCAACCTCCAGGTGGGGCCTCGAGATATCCTGGAATTCCAACCAATTGCCAGACAACAGACCTCAGTTCCCCTGGAGGAAACGGTAGCTCTGGAGGATGGGCTCCGTGGCCCTGTGCCCTGCTGAGGTCCCTCCTCTCCCCACACCCCGCCCTCCCCTGGCTTGCCAGGTATTTCCCAACAAGGAGCTGCCAGCCCTAAGTCTTTCCACGCGCACTCCGCCCACTTCTTACCTTAAACATTTAGGAGCTGCCTTGACCTTTCAGAAAAGGTAGGATATAATGATTTGAATAAAAGACATTAACCCCTTTCCTGGGGGTGCTCTCCAAAAAATGCCTAGCTTATCAACCAAGACAGAAAACAGGAAGCATGCCGTTTTTTGTTGTGTAAACAAAGGCTGAAGAAATGCCAAACAGGTGGGGAAGGTGGAAGTAATTTGAATGTTTTAATGCACAGAACAACTTGTCAGGACCCTGCTAAAGATGGCTGCACTAGCAGCAGTTCTGTAAACCTGGAGCATTTTTAAAAACTTTTTTCTAAATGAATATTTTTAAAAGTTCACGAGCAAAGTCTTTTTTGCACCTGCCTGGTTCTTAAATGGCAGAACTTCTGCTTTCTGGATGGTGCCTCCTCTACGCTGTAGTTTCTCCTGGATCCTTACTTACCACACACGACTCATCCAAGACCCAGTCCCGGGCAAGGGCTCCACCTGGGTCGTTCGCTCCACCCCCGATCTCATCATCAGAGCGATGGATTCCCCTCCCCCTTCCCACAGCCTGTTCTCCTCTGTGCCTCTTCCTCTTGGCTTCTGCACATGTACACTAGGGATTTAGTAAGAACAAAAAAAGATTAAAAAGGAGAGGCATTTTTTTTAACAGAGTAAAATTATGTACTTCCTTTTTTAAAAAAAAGAATAATTAAAAAGGGAATCAACAAAAAAAAGAGAGAGAGAGAACACATCTTGCTGATCTCGCAATTTGCTGCTGTCCACATTTTTAAGTCCTGTGTGGTCTCCTTCCCCCAAATTCCAGGATGCTACAAGTTCTCGACTCCACAGAGTCCATGCGCCTGTCTGATCTTCCATGTCCGCTAGGCTGGCCGCCTTCTCTCATCGCCCCTTGGACTCGCCATACGTGTTGCGCAGCATAGAGACCATCTTCTCCTCGCACGTGATTTTGGTGTCCTTGAGGATGCTGTACCAGACCATGCCAGGCGGCCGGACCTCTTCGCTGCGGCAGAACAAGTAGGGCACGGTGTCGGTACGGCTCTGGATGTAGGCGCTGCGTAGCAAGGTTGAACAGTGGCTGCTGACCTTCTCTAGCCTCCGCAGAATGAGGTGAGCTTTTCTGGAAGGGAAAAGAACACATTGAGACCTTGCAGAAGACAACCACAAGATGGGCAGTCAGTGTTGCTTGTCACTACCCTTTCAGAAATGTCATGGGGTGCCATCAAGCTGCAACCAGCTCATAGTGACCCCAGGAACATGGGGCTTTCAAGGCAAGAGATGAGCAGAGGTGGTCTGCCATTGCCTTCCTCTGTACAACAACCCCAGTCTTCCTTGGTGGTCTTCCATTCCAAGTAGTAGCTGCGGGCAACCCTGCTTTGCTTCCAAGCTCTGACAAGATTGGCCTATTCAGACTTCTTTCATGGCTTCCCCCAAATCTTCCTTAATTCAGACCCAAAATGCAAGGACTAACCCCCCTCTTCCAATTCCTCAAGTTTCTGGAGTACCGGGTGACCACTGGGAAGCCAACCACCCTATGCTTGCTGTCATAAGCACCCAAATGAACAAGGAAGGGGTTAATTGGGAACTAAGAGGATCAGGCAATAAGAGCTCTGCCTCTGTGACTGCCTTAAACTAAGTCATGACTCTGGACCAGTGTTCCCTCTAAGCTGAGTTAGTGTGAGCTAGCTCACAGTTTTTTAGCCTCTGGCTCACACATTTTTGCCTTCGGTCAGGAAGGATGGCTCCAGAGAAACTAATTTATGCAGTAGCCAAATTGCTAGCTCACAACTTTAACGGCAGCAGCTCACAAAGTAGAATTTTTGCTCACAAGACTCCACAGCTTAGAGGGAGCATTGCTCTGGACAACTGAGCTCTCTGCTGTCTCCTCTAACTGACAGTGGCTCTCCAGGCCTGTAGCCAGAAAATGTTCGGTAGGGGGGCACTGGGGGACATGATGGAGAAAGGGCCCCCTCCCCCTGCCAGAAAACCTACAGTCTCCTCTGCTCCATGTCCAGCACCTGGCCAGCATTCGAAATAACTCCACGTTTGATTCAAAGCAAGGTTTATTTCAAAGCGATGGTTCAGACAGGAACAAGGACATTGTTAGGAATAACTACCAATACACAGGTATAGCATAATAAAGGGATTTGAACCATGTTGGGCCAATGAGGCCAGTTCCCGCTGGCGGGAATAGAACTCAGAAACGCGCGCCTATTCCATGGGAACATAACAGTTCAGTACCATCAACACAGGTTCAGTTCACAGGGTAGATAACCATAACAAGCTTAGCGAAGCTCCGACTCCCCCCCACCAGCTGCATGACCTTGGCCAGTTCCGCAAAACACAAAGAAGCAGAATAAAGAAGCTACAGAGACCCAGGGGGGGGAAGAACACAAGACATGTGAAGCAGGTAACATCAGATACAATGGCAGCTAGCTGACACAGCCACAGAAAGCCAAAAAGAGAGTCTCCCTTCCCCCCCAAGCCGCACTCCTTCCTCTGTCCTGCCACTGCCACATTGGAGCTCTCTCTGGCAGTGGCAGGACAGGGTGAGCCTAGATCCCCACCCTGCCAGGCTGACGGAGCATGACGAGGGCTGCTGGCGACTTATGAGAGCACCAGGCCGAGCCCTGATGGGAAGCAAGGCAGCAAGGCCTGACAGCACGCAAACAGCCAGCTGCATGCAGAAGCAATGGGACAGCCCGCCCAGGCCTGAAACCGAGTCCCGCACCAGCACCTCCACCCACCAGGCCTGTGCCCAAGCCTCACTCCTCCCTTTGTGCTGACGCCGCATCGAAGCTCAGCAGAGGCGAGTGCCGTCATCGCCCCAGGTTGGCAGACTCCCTCTTGGGAGGGGGGGAGGGAGGGGTTGGGGAACCAGAAGAGGAGGGTAGGGCAAATTCAGGGGCATTGCCCCCACGGGCCCCCTGTGGCTCTCCAGGGTGTGAGCCAAGGGTCTTTCTCCATATCGTGCTCAGAGTCAGTGAGCTGGATAGGATGCCGCAAAGGCGACTGAGGTACACCTTGTGGCTGCTCTCGGCTCTAAAAGTCAAGGGAAGCAGCCCCCGTAGGATTTGGTTCCGAGACCCTCTGAGGGGTCAGCGGAGATTGTGTAAGGGGAGTTTTCTTATGCTTTTTATGCTTGACTGGCCGATCGTCCTTGCCTTCCCTGCATTTTTTGGAGGGAGTATGGATTTAGGACTGAGATGTCTGGGCCAAGCATTTCAGCATTGGGCGGTCGACATCTATGTGAGTTGGTATCAGGGACAGCGCAGCCATTGTCATGCCCCCCATTGGTCATGCGCATTGGGGCCGGCACGTGACTGGAGAACAGGCACGAACATCCCTTTCGCTTTCAAGAGGAACCGATCGAGGTCGGCACAGGCGCACCATATCCCAGAGGTGTGATGCACAGAGACCACAAAGAAGATCCACCTCTTTAGGTTTGCTGACTCAGTAGGAGATCAGGCGATGAGATGGTGACTTCCAGCTTGGGAAATTCCAAGTTATTTGGGGGCAGTGCGCAGGGAAGGCACAGCTTGGGGGTTCAGAGTTCAGTAGGGGTGTGACGCATGCTCCAAAGCTGCTCTTTCCTCTAGGGGATCACACCTCTGTAATCTGGAGATCAATTGTAATGGCAATTCTGGGAGAATCCCAAACCCCATCTGGGGGCTGGCAACCTATGGTAAAATGGCACCCATTTCTGGGCAAGGAGTGGGCCTTTGCCATATTTAAGATCTGAATAGATATCAGATTTGCAGTGGATGGTGAGAATGCCTTCCTTATGGTCTGTACTGCTTGAAATTGTCAGTTCTGTAGGTGACTAACTATGGCGTATCCCATTTATCTTCTAGGGCACCCTTTGCTTTTTTTGGTAGTGCCTGGAGGAATGAGTGTTGTTGAGACAGACGTGTTGACCCCACCCCCACCCCCGTGGCAGCTGGGATTGGCATGCTGCACTCTGCAAACAGGAAGTGCCTCAAGTGCAGTCACGATCAAGCCAGCATTGACTTCATGGTGACAGAGCAGTGAAACCAAACACACAGTGCCCGCGAGGTTGGAGGTGGGGGTGGGGAGAAGCACTTTAGAAATAACACTAAATCAAATGAAAGTGGGGAGGGAAGTTTACTGTGGCCAGTGGTAGGAAAGCTCGAAGATCATTGATTATTCCCCTCTCCCTCTGGTGTTACAGGAAAAGCCCCTCCTTTCAGCTTGGGTTTTGTCTCAGGTCCTGGGAGGAATGTAAATTCAGACTAAGGACACTCAGTCAGCCAACTCTAAACAGGGGGATTATTTGATTAGGGGAGCTTTATGGGGTTTCAAGGCCCAGGCATGTCAAATTAGATATGACAGGGGGAGCAGCTAGAATTCTTATAGCAAAGAGATGGAAATCCAAAAACACCCCTTCCATAGCAGAACTTAAATACAAAATTCTAGAAATAGCAGAGATGGATAAACTAAAGATAACATTACAAAATAAACGAGAGGAGCTGTTCTGGGACAGATGGGGGGAAATTTATACTTGGCTAAAGATAAAGAAGATAAACTGAAAAATGAAAAATGCTAGTTAAGATTTGTGACGAGATACAAGAAAGATGAATTTTATGTTATGATATCTTAAAAAACTAATCAAATATGTTAATGTGGAAAAATCAAAATAAATTTACCAAAAAAAAGATATGACAGGGGGGAGGGGGTGTTATTTTTTGATGTGGTTGTGCACACTCAAAAGAATCCCTGGGGACAGTGTTTCCGAGAAGGAGGGGCACACACATCACTGGAATGAGGCAAAAAAGGGGATCGAGAAAAGAGGACTCTGAGCAGGTGTATGTCCTTTACGTTCCATGTCTTCCTTTCAGTAAGTAGGATACAACCCTCAGATACTGATCTATTTGCCTGTCTTCATAAACATTTTAGTCCCTCCTTCTGGGACTAAGAGGAATTCCAGTTGAGAGTCATACCCTGCTCTTTGCCGAGAGAGTGTCCTTCCACGATGTTGTCCATGCAGTTTTTAGCATGACGGCATGAAGGCTGGGATTATGACACACACGGGCATGCCCAGCCCCTTGGACCAGTCACTCACTCTGGCCACATTTTTGCCCCTGAGAATGTCCAAGGGTGTGGCTTACGGGAAACAGCCGCCCACTGAATTGGCCACGGGAAGAAGCAGGAGCAGCTACAGGCAAGAGGGAATCTGGAGGGGAGGGCGGGTTTGAAGAGAGGAGGAGGAAGAAAAGAGGGGCCTTTGGGGGGGGCCTCCCGTATGACAAATCGGTGATGGATTACCGGGAAGATCTGGGCCAAGCTGTTGGGATGACTCACTTGTGGAAAAAGGTTAATGAAGTAATGTCTAAAGGTTAGACTTATCTTTGGCTGACATCTTCCCTTTAAGGAGGAGTAGATGAAGGGGAGAAAGAGGAAGTGGGAGCAGACATCTCCGTACAGCGAGCAAGCAAAGTGATAAATTGCAAGGGGACGGTTTGAATGGCCCATTTAAGGTCATAAATCAGAGGCAGAGTCCCCTTCCAAAGCATTCCTTGTGGCCTGCTGGGACCACCTTTTCAAAACTTGGAGATGAAATCTGACCCCGTCTACTATCCATTCCCAGTTTCCAAATAAAAACAAAAACAAAAATGGAGAACATTAAAAAGATGTAGGTTGGCAAAAAGATGGGCAATTTCTGCAGTCGTTCAAGGGCAGGGTCAGAAAGGGAGTCTGATGTGGCAGTTCTCACACCATAAACCTGCAACTGCTTCCTCCTGCTGGGGGTCATCTCTGGCCTCACTACGCTCGCCCTGAGGGCTGCCAGCCCTTTTAAAGGGAGATGCAACTGAAAAGATGCAAAAGAGAATTCTCCCATAAAAGGTGCTGCTGCACTGCACTCTTTTGGTAATGACTGCTGGGGAGCATTATGGTGACAGGGCATCCCTGGCAGTTCTGTGGCCGTGCAAAAACAGCAGAGTGTACATGCAAGGAGACATGGGACTCAGCCCATGCAGGAGGAGACACTGAAAGGGCCTGGTTCCTCCTACAAAAGGGCTACTGTGAATCTTGATGTGTCGGAATATTCACGGAACACAGATAAGCCAATGGTACCAAACCACACTGGGGCTGGGATCA